TTTCAAACAAATTTTTGCCACACCTAATAAGTCCTTTCTCAATCCTCCCAGAGTCCACTGTTTTCATTGATTTTGAACTTATGCAAAAGTTACTTGACCAACTGTCTTCTGGGGAAGAGGCCAAGGGTAATGTTTTAATGCTAAATTCTTGCCAGCCTTTATTTTACATTTAAGGGAAAAACACAGAAAGAAAATTAGCATTTTATTTGGGGAATGGTATTACTGTTGAATTTGCTTAAATTTCTATTTACTAGTTTTAGAAGTGCAAGCGTAATTCAAATATCAAATTAAACTAGTTTCTGACCCATATGTCATTAATTACAAACTGTACTAATAATTTAATGTTCTTTTCATACATTATCAGGTAGAATTAAGTCTTTCAGTCTCCTCCAGACTTACTAATTCAAATGCTGCCAAACAAAAACCGGTAACACTCAATTCCAGTTAGAAGTTTATGATCAGATAGATACATTTCTTTGGAGATGAAGATAGTGTAATTTCAAACGTAAGCCTAGATGTATTTTTAAATTTAATTAACCATCAAGAGAGAAAAAAATAAAAGTCCAGTAACTCCTCTATTATTTAACAGAGCAACAACACTTAGATTTGTTAGTATTCTTACAGTATTGCACCTAAGATACTTTGAGAAATCAAATTTCTTCTGTTGCTTTCATTTGTCTTTATTGCTCTTAATTGTAAATGGTCTGAATTTCTTCTGTTACATTCATAAACTTTAAGAGTAAAATAATGAAAATCATACAGGATGGGCTGAATGGGCTCATCATAGCTAAAAGCTCAGAAAAAGAGATAGTTATGCTGAATGTTAGGCATTTGTTTTCAAGTTCAAGACTCAGACAAATCTAGTGACTAATGTGGACAGAATAAATGCACCAACCTCTCTGCAGGATCACATCTCTACATAGAACAGGGAGACCAGAACAAAGGGGGATTCTTCATTGAGAGGTGCAGACAGTCATGAAACAAGGGGAAACACCCTCAATAGACGGCCCTCTGAGGGCTGCAGTGACTGTGGATTACACAGTTATTCACATGCTCACATAGAATACTTTTTGACTTTGTAAAGGATAAGTTTCCCATCTTAGAACACAGGAGTACTGATTCTTCAAAGTCAGTAGTGAGTGGCAGGGTGTGTACAGCCACTGGATCTCAGCACAAACCCTCAAAGCTCGCCTGATTCTCTGTGAGGCCCACAGGAGTTGCAGCACAGTCCCATTGAAACCACAGTTCTGAGTGTTACAGTCACTTCTGCAAAGTTTCCAAGAGCTGCACCCTCAGGAAAACAATGTCTACAAATTAAAGAAGAGACACAGAACCTTACTCTGAACTGCATTCCAGGTGCCCTCTGTTCTTTGTTCCCTCTTTAGTATGATTTTTCTTCTTATTCTTTCAGATTTCAGCATTTTAGTTTTCTAAGTGTTTATAAAATCTTGCCCCAAATCCTTTACCATCCACTAGATGTCATGACAGCATTACTAGTATTATTGAATACAAGAATGACCACAGAATCAGGATGGAGATCTTGGAATTTACTTCCTCTCTGTTTCTGAATCGGAAACCTCTACAATTTCTTAAAAAACTAAAGAATTTCTGCAGCAGGAAAAATAAGCAACAGCTAACAAAGCGTATGTAGTATACTTTTGTCCCTTCTCTCTGTACTAATTCCCATACTTCCATTAATAGAAGATGATATCTTCATGTGCAAAAAGTTGACAAAGTTAGAGAGAAGAATGTCACACTAATGCTTGATCACATTATAGCATGAAGCTATGTAAGAATGGACAAAAACTGACAGAAACATTTATTTTACTGGAACATATGTTTTACTGGAAAATAAGACAGAGAACCAATATTTGCTCAAACATAGAAAAGCCCACCCACTATCAGAATGCTTGATTCACTTTGCAGAAACATTTATCACAAGAAGCAATGGGTAAGAAAAATACAGTCTTAACCTGCATGTTTCAGTGCCCAAAATTGAAGGTCGTGCAACAGAGAGGCAGAAGAGAGAACATGTTCATGCTTTAAAAATGAAAATTCCTGCTATTTCCTCCACAGCTGAAGCCTTCTCAGCAGTAAAACGTTTTTAAGAAAAGCATTAAAATCCCATTACACAGCTAAGAGAAATGGAAAAGAGTGAGCACATCTGAACTCACTACATATTTCATTAAGAAAGTCTCACATGGATTGATGGAGAAGGGCTTAGTACAATTTACAGGAAAAAAAGGAAAAGCACTTTCTTTTTCAGTTTTCTAGAACAACTTCTGAGATAAGAGCTACACACTTGGTCTCTACACACTGATGTAGTTAACCTGCCAACCACAGTTAACTGTAGATGGTAAGTGATGCTTTGCAAATGTAGAGAATGAGTTCAAGCACTTTATCAACTGAATAGCATTTTCTCTCAGGAGAATTATTTTACTCCTAACAAAGCTATAGTGTTGAAATAACACTAACCCTACATGCATTCTATGAGGGACCACTTAGCATTAACAGTATAAAAGCAAAACTATTACCTTTGACCTCATCTATCAAATGTCAAACAACTAGTAGAAGGTAGAAATTTTTAGATCAGTATAACATAATTAAAAGAAAACAAACCTGCTTAGTACATCTTAGGGGCATATCTTTTTTTTTGATTGAATATATTTTTATTTTTCAAAACTGTTGCCATTTATATCTATGTCTTTTCATTCAGTTTTTCCAGCACCAGCTAGGAGCATTTATGGTGGTTCATAGTGGTTAACAGATCTGTTTTGCCTAAACTAGTTAACAGTAGGCTGGACATGAATCAGCAGTGTGGCCTAGCAGCAATGAATGTCACCAGCAAACCAGCAGTTTGAGGAAAGGGATCAGTCTTTCTGACTTAGCACTTGTTGCACATCACCTGGAGGGTACACTGTCTCCTCCTCCAGTTTGTTCAGCTTTGGTAGCCTATGTTGATAAACTTGACGATGGTTCAGTGAAGAGCTGCCACTAAGATGGTGAGGACTGGAACATACATTCTTCTGAAGGAACTAGGTTTGTTCAGTCTATAGAAGAGAAGGTTTTGTAGGACATAACAGCTTTCCAGTACCTATAAGGCAGTTACAGAGAATGCGGATCCAGCCTTATTACAGTAGTGCAGAATAGGACAATGAGAGAAAATGATCATAAACTGAAGAGGTTGAATTTAAATATTTTTAAAAGCCACTCTGAGGATAATTAAGCAATAGAAAAGATTAGCCCTAGAAGAGGCTGTGGAATCTTCATCTTGGAGGTTATTCAAGACCTGACTAGACAAAGCCCTAAGCAACCTGGTTCAAATTCAGTGTTGACTGATTTGAGCAGGAGGTTGCACTAGACGACCTTCTGAGGTCTCTTCCAACCTAAGTAAGTCTACGAGTCTGTAATTCAGCTGAGTGCAACTCTCAGAGGCTACCCTTTGCGTACTGCAATCAGGAGAAACTTACTATAAAGCCATTTCTCTAAGAGTTAATTACTCACCTTGTCCGCCATGGTCTGAAATTCTTTCTTATCCAGGTGTAACGGATAAAATGTAGATTCTTATGGAGGGAAAGCTAAATCCCCTACCACCACCAACAAGTTTTCAGTCTTTATGAAATACCTATCCAACTCAAACAGTGGTATGGAAAAGCAACGTCTGGATTTAAAAAAGTAAAAACGTGAAGACTCCTGTTGTTTAGCTTCTTACTAGTTCTCCAAACACATGCTGTTAGGAAATGGTGCAGTTCTTTGGTACAGTAAAAGGAGTGAAGGAAAAAAAAACAACCAACAACATCCATTTTGCATGTATAGACCATTTCCATTGTCTGCAAATTCTCAAGTAAAAGTCTCTTTATTAGAGCTGACTGTCTGATTCCAAAATTTTTTCCATATGCAGAAAAACTTTTAAAATTTGAAATATAATAATTTCCCATATTGAAAGTGTAGGTTAGATTTATTATGGTATTTTTAAAAGGTAGAGATAAATATTTTTAAAGTATGTTAACACTACAGAGAGTTGAACATACCCCTTTCAAATTGTACTTTCCTAGAGAAAATGCTGTTTATAGGTAGCAGGAAAGAGAGTAAATGAAGCTTGGGTTAATGCAGTAAGTGAAACTTAACATCAAAGAAGCCTCAGTCTTATTACATTCATGTTGTAAAAAGTAATGGACCTAGAACTTTGAAAACCTTCAGCTTTTATGAGCCTAAGCCACAAGATTTTAGGAGCTTAGATCTCCCTGTCAGCAAAACACATTGTTACGTGTTCCTATAAGAAGCTGTATAATCAAGTGCATGTTCAATTATTAGACTTTTCAAACTAAAGATATTCCACAAACACCTGGGAACTGGAGTAATTTAATGAGTTGCAAAATCTGTTTCTGTTACTTCTAAAATGTATTTGTTCACTATCAGCTATTCTTTCAAACCGTAGTCAATAAAATTGGTTCTCTGGCATTTATAGTTTGGAAAAAAGTACAAAGCAAGTATTTTCTGTGAATTATGTAGCATAATTCAGTTTATAAAGATAAGTTAAAATTAAGAACTTGGAATTTATTAAAAAATAATTCCAAAATTATTTTCAGAATTGCTTAAGACATAGCTGTAAAACTGAGAGATATTTTTTTACTTTTCCATCATTTGTACAGTGGCATTACTTTAACAAGAAGTGATACCTCATCACTGGTAAACATTTACAATAGAATATGTGGACAGAATAAAAAAATCTTATAGTGAAAAGATGAAGCTGTCAACACTTTCCCACTCCCCCCAAAAAACCCTGTAAAAAGTTTTATTCACATTTAGTGTAAAGAAGGACATGAATATAATTTTAAGGTCTTTTCATTTATTACTCAAAAAGTTAATTGTTTAGGTTTAAAATGCTTTATGCTAAAACTTTTCATTTCAAAGTCAGATGTCGCAATAAATTTCATGCCGTTAAATCACCTGCAACTAAACTATAATGACCTTCCAATTCTCAAAGAGCGCGTAGTTACCTGGTCTAAAAGATCTTCCACTTTTTTTTGCCATCCATCCCTTGCTGCATTTTTTTCACGTTCTTTCAGCTGCAACAGCTGAGTCATGGCTGCCTTCTTATCCTCTTCATGCTGGAGCCTCAGCTCTTCACGAAGCTTATTACATTCCTGTCTAAAAGCAAAGGTAAAATAACTAAAATGCAGAGGACCTTGTGCAAGAAGTGAAAAGAAATTAAGAACTCAGTAATAATTGCAAAAGCTTAGATAATAACAAAACCCTTTGTTTTACACATCATTTGGTATTACATTTGTATGTAATAAAGACTTTGTTTCTTCTTTAAAGAAGAAAAAGGAAAAAAATTAACACTTGCCGAAGGTTTTCTGTCCACTTTATTTCCAAGTCACGAGCCATTCTGTCAACTTTGAACTTCTCCTCTTCTCTCATGGCAGCAATCATTGCCTCGTGCTGTTGTCTCTCCTGATCTAGTTCACCCTGCAAACACAAACTTCACAGTGGAGACTTACCAGCAGCAAAAAAGCATTTCAAACCTTAAATCAATGCGTTTATAACAACAACAAAAAAAAGTCAGTTACAGTTGGCTCAGGAAACTTGAACTATAACTTTTTCAGTGTGAAATTCCTAATTATGCACAATTACTGCCTATACCTCTGCTGATATTTCTTACTTGGGGAATATAGTTCTGCATTCCTATAAAAAGCTATAAAAAAGCAATTTTCCAATAAACCACTCTGGAAAGAATCTCAAGAGTTCAGGTTCTCATCAGGTTCTGTTCAGTGCAGGATTAACTTCAGAATTAGAGCACATTGCTTAGGTTCTTGTCCAGCATGTTTCGGGTCTTTTTTTTAAAAAATCAGCAAATATTAATTACTTTAATTTCAAAGCTTGAGCTATCTGGATTTGATACGAAATTCATGTATCTTCTTTGTTTCTTGACTAGACTAACGAGTTAGAAATAAACTTTCAGTCTGAACACAGAAAAAGTTTTGGAATTGATATAAATTTCTGTCCAAATTTTACCAGCTAGAATAATATTAGGTAATACCTAGAATTCATACCTATAGCAAAGTTTTTTCAAGCTGTGCTTGCTTTGTTCTTGAGAAGCAACATGGTTGTCTACATTTAAATTAAGACTTTCTAAAGACAGAATTCTCCTGTAGGATATTTTCATTTATATATATTAAAATCCATTCATATAAATGTTATTGCCAGTGACCTGCTATATATGAATCTTTAAACGTTATATTAAGTGAAGACAGAAAAATGCAGTAGTTCATATGGACAACTAGAGAAATTATTAAAAAAAACAGAGGAACTTATAAACTGTAACAGGGTCCACATCTAATGACCACAGCTGAAAGATTTTTACTTGTTTTTCCAAAAATCCAAACAAACATCCTCCTCTTGCAGGCTATTTTTGCTAAGAAAATATCAACAGCACAAAAACAGATTCAGGGAGATTTTTATTTTATTTTTTTTTTTAAGTATTTGCTGTTCTACTTCAAATATTGCAGTGATCTTGCAAATGTACATTGTTTAGTGATGAAAAAGGAAAGGTTATACTTAATATTCAAGTCAATGAGCTATTGACAGATTAACTGACAGTTCCAGTTCCACCTAAGCCAACTAAAATGGCAATATATTTGTGGTTAGACCAATTAATTGCTTCAATTGTATAAAGTGGTTACATTTTCTGGATGACAAGTCTGCTACCTTTCAAGTTAACATAGTGAATACCTTCAAACTACTCTTAAGCATCTTCTGCAATCCTAATACTAGTGTAAGACATCCTCACTTTATGTTCTCATGAAATTCTGCTAAGCCTCTGAAAAATCCAACTCTGTATACATTTTGTATGGACATATTTTGGAAGTTACAGTTTATACTAAGGACAGAAAGATATGCTTGTAGCAACACCCATTAAATACTAGAAGTGTTCTGAAAATAAACAAAAAAACACCCCAACCTAAAACCAATGAAAAAGAAAAACCAACCTATCCAAGTTTTTCAGGGTTGCTTGTTTCTTTTCCTCTCTTTGTTTGCAATAAAGAGAGAAATATGTTTAAATGAAGCCACACGTAGCTCCTTCAATAATGTGCATGGAATACTTCTTGCCCTTACAAAAACAAACCCAAAATTGCCGTGACCGTACTTTGCACAATTTATCCTCCAACATCACGATTACCTCAACACTATACAATGAATCGGTGGTCTCTCTCAGTCTTGCTCTAGTCAATTCTAGCTCTTTCTGGAGTATTTCTTGAGCTTCTTGAAGACTGGAGATATGTCCCTCTGCAGTACCAAGGCCCTGTTCACTTTTTCGTACTAGGTCTTGCAGACGACACACCTATGACAGAAAAAACCCATAAACCTGTAGTTTAAATAATTATTAGTAAGAGCAGCAAAGTCATCCTGGATTCATTTTCTTCCCAGTGATTTCTAATTCCAACCTAGACAAATTTTTATTTGCAGTCTGTTCTCTTTTAATATCACTTAATGTTTCTCTATTAAAAACCAAATTCCTATAGTATTGTAAAAATCTTTTCACTGAATCATTTGATTTTATGAGGTACAAGTGCCTCAAAAAAGGACTAACCTTTGGTTTGCAGCTATTAACAGGTAAGAGTTGTACCTACTTTCTGTTTGTTAGCATAATGATATGCAAATTTTATTTATAATATACACAGGGGTGCACACACACATGTGTATATATATATATACACACATACACACAGCCCTCTCAGAACTCTCTTCCTTTGTATGCAACCCATGAAGTGTTTAACAAGAGGGATGATTCCTCTCCTCTCAGCAAAGAATCCCAAATTTCTTTGGCACAACAGAGAAAAACTAATATAAACTTCATCACTTCTCTGTGTTCCTTTGCATTGTATGCAAACAGCTAGTAATTCCCTGCAAAGCCTATTACCTGAAGGAGAATCTCTACATCACAAACTGCCCCTAAGACTATATCGATACCATCGAAGCACACCATTGACTCTGTATCTGGTAATAGTATACCAGTTGCCAGAGATGTGAACAGCAGTCCTGCAGATCTAAAGTATATGGAAACATGTAGGAATAACACTTAGAGGACTTAGGTCTGTTCTACTAATGACAAAGCAATGCTGGAGGCTGTTTAATATGATTCTTAGTAATATAACTGGAAATCCTTTGCACAGAGATGACCAGTTCTTAGACTACTCTGCCAAGGGACACAAGCAAGGAATCTTTCTAAAAGCTCTTGACTGGTCAAGAGTGAAACAAAGAGATCTAGAATGTAAACAGCCAGCCTCATCCTAAGAAATGTGCAAAAGTCAGTATCTTGTCTTAACCTGAACTCTCAAAAAAATCTCTGACAAGAATTTAAGATTATGCTGTTCTTAAATAGCTTGGTACTAGAAGTGAGCTGAATGAGGCTTCAAACTTTCCCATCCTTTAGCCAAGGTAATTACTATTAAAAAGTCTATCAAAAACAAGAGAATCACATAGGTTCAAAGCCAAGGGATTTTCAACAGGGAAGCTAGAACAAAGCTGCCATCTGCAGAAAGTAACAAACACATGCTTACTGTTAAACGAAGGCTGTAACATAAAATAAACAAAAAGGAAGCAGCAGTAGAAATACAAGAGCTAAGCCAAATTTGTGCCAGACGTTTCACAGGGAAGTTTCTTCCAGGTCAGGGAAGACATTGAGAAGCTGTTGTCAGTTGTCAATAGGGATCTAAGACTAAGCTGTGGTTACAAGTGAAGTATTTGTCTCATGTGCTCACGATAAGCACAGTAGTAAAATACAACGTGCTGCCTCTGTACTACATGGATTTACAGACCACCCCACATTTAGTATCTATACACTTTCTCTCATTTTCTCAATATGCAAAATACACTGAATTTCATTTATCCTGACACAAGAATATATATAAGATCAATTCCTAAGTAACAGCTGGTCCTAATTCCTTATTTTAAGTTTATATTACTTATCTACTCCTTAGCCATGCCTCTTCTTAATTGAGTATGCTGGTGGGTTTTCCAAGACTGAACTTGGTGGCAGTTGGATAAGGTAAACTAACTCTTAAAACATTTTACATTATTTCCTTCAAAGAAGGAGCTTATTACTTACAAACCAGATAAGCTGATAAAGAGTAACTAAATTAAAACCTACAGTATTGAATTACTATAGAACAGTAATAGTGCTCTCCTCAAATATAATCCAACAGTAAGGAAAGTTAACATACAATAGAAGCTAAAGCAAAAAAGAAGTAACTGAACTTTCTGCAACTTGGAATGAAAAATAAATCTGTGTGTGATTTTGTTAACATAAAACAAATCAATTTTAACGTAGGTAAGCATACTGTTAGAAGAGCAAGAGCATCTTCAGCTTCAGTTTGCACCTTCTCAAAGTCTGAAGTACCAGTACTCAGAGGAAAGTACAGTCTCCCTTTCAACAGATACTCATGTCTGATTCATCAGTAGTCCTGCTGAATTCTAAAGACAGTAGGTTCAGCTAGTTTAGTAGTATATAATTTCTGGTATACACATTTATCTGGTAGATACTAATCTGAAAGTATATATTAGTGTCTTGAAACTATAATAAAGTATATGTTCTTAATATACACTTCAATGTATTAACGTGTATTAATATAGTATTGCAGTGGTATATTAATGATAAAGCCATATATTATATATTCACATATAAAAATACATACTAATATAGTAATTTGATATATACTTTCCAAAGGGCAATCCTTCCCATTTATCAAAAACAAGCAGGTTTTTTTTCTAATGCACGTTTACCATTTGTGCAAGTTGCAAGCCACCAGGATTAGACAAACAACCATCTCCAGAAGTTGTATGATATAGAAAATGGTAAGGAAAAGTTCTGCTGTAAAAAAAAATTACTTAATGCTAAAATCTGTCTTAAAGCACACACTGAAATAATATGTATGGCTTGTTGGACAATGAAGCTAATTAATTGTTTTCTTGAAACAAGGCAGAAGTTTGAGACAAGAATACATTTATGGTTTTGATTTAGTTTAAAAGTTGTATTATGAAAAGGTGTTGATTTCAAACTCAAAAAATTAAAACTGTATTGAGGTACAATACATTTAACATTGATTGAGTACATCAAAACACTGCATGTCATCTTTTGATGGAAACATATGATGATCACCTGCAAGTCAGGAAGGTGACTAGAATTCACAGTATGTCAACTGTAAATAAATATGGCTTTAAATATAGTTAATTTTCCCTCTGTCTCCTGACATATTTTGTGTAGAGGTCTGTGTACCTAATGAGAAGATAAGCAGAGTTAGAACAAGAAAGGCTGTTTCCCCCAACTGTTTTGTACTTCAACTTGTTTTGCAAGGATAATAAGAATCAGTGCTCAGAAGCAAGTCAAATAAGTTATGTTTGAGTAACACTGCACTCTAAAGAGAAATAAAGCACTAAAAAGACTAGTCCTAGCTCTGTACTGGCTTCTAAGCAGATCATTACGGATGAAATGTGGTCTGGTGCACAGGCCCGTTGGGTGAGAAAATTAAGTTAACCCTTGCCTCCTGGTTGGCAGAAGTCAGTTTCGTTGTCAGCTCTTCCTTCAGGTTTTCCAGCTGCTGTCGGAGCTGATTCTTATCACCCTCCAAATGCAGTTTCTCCTTCTCAAACTGCTGCTCCAACTCCTTTGAAAATGAGAAGGATGGAAGAAATATTAAATATTTGTCATCCAATCATCTCCAAGTAAATGTGTACCACGTGAAAATTACTCCTCCTGGCATAGATACTCCTGGTCTCACACAAGAATTTTCTTTTCCCTAAAGTGTTAAAACATGAATATTTATTTCCTTTTACAATTGATGCTTTTTGTCAGTTTCTTTTCTAATTTAACATCCTTGATTAGTCACAAATGGGACTTTCTTGTAAATCACTAGTTTCACTTTCCACTTAATTGGTACTTTACTCAAAATCATTAAAACTGTATCTACTTTCTCAGATTTTAAATCTACATTGAGAGAATGCAGAAATTTTCACGTTTTTATAAAATTACACTGATAATATGCTTAATCTTTAGCCTTTACCAATCTATCTCCTATACACAATCCTCACAGAAAACAGCAAAGCTTAAAATCCAGACGGAGCTTTTGGAATTTTTTCAGGCTGTTACAATCAATGAAAAAAAGCCCCACACTGTATCTATAAAATTAACATAGAACCAAAATAAATAAAAAAATATTATTCAACTATACGGAAAAAATCAAATAACACCTCTGTTTTCATTTGATCTCTGTGGAGTAATGGGCAAATTCTGAAAACAACTCTGTTGTCTGAATTACATTTCTCTTACATGAGTCTAGTTTGTACATGTTATAAGCATATGTTGGAAACTTTTTTTTCTTTTTCTTAAGGAAAACTACAAAAAACTACAACTTCAACTTGATTATTATTCAGAATATATTTTCAGAAGAACAATTTCTGCCACAAAATACTTAACATGAAACATTTTAAACTAAGAGTTTTCATTGCTGTGGGTTACATTGCATAATTTATTATACTACAAAGTCGTGTTGAAGAAAATGAAGCTGCCAGGTAAGGTACTCCAGAGCCAGGAATTACAAGACTTCAAGATTTTCTATGCAACTACAGAGATCCTTTTATTAACTCCCTCTTAGGGATTAGCTGTAATGCAAGGCTTACAGTTGATTCAGTGCCTCTGTCCAGCCATGGGCTCAGTTTTTTGAGAAATCAACAGTATCTCAGAAACATGATGAAAATACATAATGAGAGCAATGCAGAAAACAAGAAGTACAACTACAGGCTTTGGTAAGATTGCAGAGACGGGGAGAGTTAAGAGCTTAAGAATTCAAGAGGAAAAAGAATGTCAAGAAAATATATAGAAGTCTAAGGGAAACTTCAGAAAAGCTGGAAGGCAGCAACTTTGTGTCATCCAGCTCATTCCAAGAAGCAACAGGAGCCAACCTTTCCTTATCCAAAACCAGAGACCCCTTAAGTGCTTTCTGGGGGTGGTAAGCATATTAAGCCTAGTAGCTTGTTAGTTCTGACATGCCATTAGGGTGTGCAACAGGCAATAAATGTTCATGGCAGAAGCTGGACAGAGTGACAAAGCACTTGCACTTCCCAGAATCCATTGCTATACAACAGGTGTGTGTTCCTTCACCGTGCCCAGACCAATCACCACGTGGGACAAACCATGCTTGCTAAATCAATTTTGCTCCTTCACACTGTGAAATCTGCAATCTGCAAAATTTCACTGGTTCTATCTATTCAGACCCTATTCTGATAACTGAGTCATTAGGTTTTTTATGATACTTGTCAGTACAGCTGTGCAGTACTGCAAAATTATTAGCGGCTCTATTTTCATAATCCTTGTATAAACTGATGCCATTAACAGCTCATTTTATAGATGGAAAAACTGAAGCAGAGAGATATATTTAAGCTATTTCTTGAGTTCTATTATCATTCTTTAGAATTTTCTTCTGATCCATTTTTTTCAAAACTTTCTGAACCCCAGATGCTTTTCCCAGTCTTTCAGTCCTAATAAATACTCATGTCCTCCATCCAAAGGCTCCTTTTACCAAACTTCTTACCTCGTACCAAATTTGGCTGTTCTCCACATTTGAGACTGTTTCTTCCTTGAAATACTCAGATAACACAACATTACTTAGTGAGACAGGTTTGAAAGAGGAGACAGTATGCTGATTAGGATTTACTGAAATCTTGACCCTGACATCTTTTCATGGTTAATTTCCCCTTGCTAAAATCAAGTTTCATATTTCTCATTCATAGAGCTGTCCTATATTTTAACTAATATGATGATTTAAACACAAACATTTTATGATATCCTTTGGTTTATTCTTTACAATATTAATAACAAACAAGAGAAACATAAACAAAAAGAAACCTACATCTTACTGAAGTAAAAGAAGAATACTCCCAGAAACTCTTAAGAGACATTGTTCTAACAACAGGCATGTTTAAAGTTACAAAGGAAGTAAAACAAAGATCAGACGCACCTGTGTTACAGAACTACTTCCACTACTAGGAGACATGAAAAAATCTTTGCAATTTATTAAAAATAAAACTAAAGGAGCAACACAACAGTAAAATAATTCAGTCTAAGACATAGAACACTAACTACTATTGTGCTTCTTGTCATATTTCCTGTCAACACATCAGCTGAGCATAACAAAGTCTTAAATTAAACAATACTTATTCTGTACTTACTATATAAGGCAATTTGTGTATGATGTACATACAATTAGACTAAGAATAATTCAAAATCAGTCTTCTCATTTATCCCAAAAAAGAAAAGGCCAATTTTATGAATCAAAAAATCCTTTCAGTGTCTGGATTCCAGTCAAAGGTAAATTAATAGTTAATGTCCAGTGAGAATAATTTTATTATCTAAATTACATCTGTTGTCATCTTCCGAGTATGAACATAGTCAAGTACTAGTATCTTTTTGCACTTTTGGACTTCTAATTAAAGTTTTATATAAGTATTAGAGTAACATAATCCTTTATCTTCTCAGAAGACCCAATCTTGAGCGTTATACCAAACTTTCTGAATATGGGTCACAAAACCTGGGGAAACACCTACAATACTTGAAAAGAAAGTTGTATTGAGTTGAGAATTCCTATTCTGTATGCAGACAAATTACAGCACAAATGCTCTTTTTGTGACAAGATGTACATTATTTTAATAACAGCGGAGCAATTTCTTCAGAGAGGCACAGCAAATCTGGAGGTAACTCCAAATAAAACTTGCCAAACAAAACCATGTGGTACAAGGTTCAAACTCTAACATTTGCTTTTTGTAACATGCTGATTATTTAGAAAACTCAAACCTACCATCTGCAGTTTTTTCTTATCCTTATTAGCATTACTGTGTGCAGCCTCAATTGCAGTATGATGTTTCCATGCCAATTCTTCCAAGGTCTTGGAATGAGCCTCCTTTAACTGTGCAGCCTCTCCTTCCAACCTTGCTTGCAATTTTACAAGCTCCTTCTCGTAATATTCACGCTGTGTCTCCCTTGCTTCATTTACTTTCTACAAAAGACAGAGAAAAAATAAATTAATTCTATCAAACTGTAAAATCAGAGGAGTAGGAAATAAAAATACAAAAACATTACTGGTGACATATCTACAAAAATTAACTTCCATACAAATCAAACTCAGCAAACACTAAGCACTGACTAAATAATTCAATAACCAAAAAGTTAGTTTCAATATATCCATTCAAAGCAATATAGCCACATTAAAATATTTTTTTTTCTCTATTTAATCTTGGGAAACAGCACTCAGGAATCAAGCCTATAGAAAACTTCAGTGTTTTCAAACATGCTCAGCACATTTTCAGAGAATAGCTTTTAAAAATGTTCTTTAAGCATTTCAACCTTCTCCTTACTGAGACACTTTAGATACTTGGCATCTACACACAAGGCTACAAATTAAATTAAATTGTTAAAAGATGTCCAAAGGAGTCTGAACATCATCTAATCTGACTTCCTTTGCTCTCACTTTACATTCTGTATTCGTCATTGTATGTTGCTACATACATTATATTTGAACACACTACTACTGATCCTAGTCTAGTCACATCAAACAAAAATTAAAACATAATCAAGTTTGGTTTTTTTCCTTAGGATCTTAAGTCTTTTATTTTTATTCAACTACAGCAAATAAGCTGTTTAACCTTCTCCAAGGCCAGAATTTGCTGCCTTTGTCGCTCATCCAGACTTTGTGTTTTGCTTTGTAATAAGTTTCTTTCTTCTTCCAGTTGGGATAGTTTTTCTTTTAATCTAGACTTTTCTGATTCCAAATCTCTGATTGTAACTTCTTGAGTCATTTGAGTAGCTTGAAGCATTCCAATGTGACCTAAAAACAAAATAGCTCTTTAAAACCTCATGACATTGGTTTCATGTAACTGAAGTACATACTCATATTTCAGTGATTTCTAGAAGTACAACTCCAGTGAAAGCTTCCAAACGGATCTCCATTATCTCCACTGCAATACCTACCTTCTCCTTTTTTTTAATTTTACTGTAAAATGTAACAACAATAGAGTGCTTGGTGCTGGGGTGCCTTCAATTTCAGTTTTCCTTGTTCAAAGGTACATATTGATTCCAAAGAAAAAGCAGACGTAGGCAACAGTATGAACACAACCAGCCTGTCGTGAAGAATTCACCCCACTTATGACCTCACATTTTTACCCCACAACAAGCAACACAACAGAAAGCAGAGCATTGAGGTTCAGTGGTAAAGATGCTACTGTTTTTTTCAGACTTATCATATAGCCAGCATGCTAGGTATAGCAGCTAAATATATGTAAATTTACAGAACTACACTTTATTTTGACATAGGTATATGACTAAAAGATATAACAGAATTCATTCTCTCCATAATAAAGTATGATCTAAATCCTCACAGGTTAGAGGCTTGCTTTTAGTTTCTCTTTTATATCTATCGATATCAAAATTTACAAAGCTAGACAGCATAATCTGTCATTCACAACACCAATGGAAAAAGATTCATGATTTCAGAAATTTTTGTCCTTCTTCTGAATTTATATCTATATTACTGAAAATACTTCTACTAGTTTGCTGACTACAGCAGTGAAACTCTAGTTATTCTGAGAAAGACTTTAGGAGGAGATAGAAGACCATTTTGCCATAGAGGATGCTTCTAGGTTTGCTCAACTGAAAGAGAAGGGATATTCTCCCATTATTTTAACATCTATGTAGAAACATCATGAAGTCACACCTAAGCTGACAGTCCATGTTGGAATGGATCTTTTGATAAAAAGACCCTGTTATCCCTTTCATAAAAAGCATGACCTAGACATGTTTGAAATATGTCTTTTAACAATTAGCATGTGAAAACAGACTTTCAGGAATTACACAGAGATCCCCAACAGTTTCACATAAAGAAAGCATCCAGATAATGAAGTGTATTATTTACACAGAATAATTTTTTTAGTCACAACTTCTATGACTCTCTACTATCTGGATGCTTTCTTTATGAAGTGTATTATTTACACATAATAATTTTTTTTAGTCACAACTTCTATGACTCTCTACCCCACCCCTATTTCATTATAATCCTCAAACCCAACCGTTTACTTGAGTTTTAATGACAGAGTATTGCTTTTAAATTTAAGTTACTAAGAAACAGCTAAGTGAGAGACAGTGACACGGTCCACAAGACAAAACCATTGAGCCTCCAAATTCATTTCCATCTGCAGTTAAAGCAAGACATGACCTGAAAGAAAACAGTTTTAGCCTTTGGTGTCTGTGGACACTGATGTGAAAGGAAGGACAGTGGCATACATAATGGAATTTGGCCATGGAAAATGCTACAATATAAGCAGTATTTTTACAACCCATGCACACTTCTAATTGTACTAAGTTCTGAAGAATTCTAAGAGCCATTTAGGCCCTTTTGGTTGATAAAGCTAAAAATTGAAGACAAAACTTCAGATAATGTGTATGCTTTACTTCAGTAACATTTTAAAAACTTACCTTGGCACAATCTGGCAATGTCCCAGCCTTCAAAACAAGGTGATCTTATCCAAACAGACATTTGTGAAGGACCCCTGAGCTTGTGCTAACTTGTGTGGAAAATAATCAGGTATTTCTACAATTGGTCTAGCAGAACAAGGCTGAAGATAAGCCAGGGGCTTGTTTTTAGTCTACAGTCCTACCTATACAATAGTTAACCAAGTTCAAGTACTTGGGCCCATGCCCATCCCTTACCACTAAGCAGTATACTAGAGAGAAAAAGCCAGTAAGTTAAAACCTGCCATCACACAGCAAATCATTTTTAATGCCTTACCACATACCAATGAGCACATAAAAGTAAATAAAACTACTACAAAAGAAACCATAAGGGATTTATTAACTGATAAGCTGCAAGTCTTCTGACAGTAGGTGTAAAGCAAAGGACCACAATCTCAGTGAAAAGACAAGGCAACTGAAAAAGGTGGAGAAACAGGAAACGTCTTAGTGATTATGCGGAGAACAGACACACAGGAGAAGCATTCTGTACAAGTGAAGTTAAGGCAATAAATTCCAAGGCCTGAAAGATGCACACATGCCATACAAAGTAGAACATTTGGACAAATAAGTACACAAAAAAATAACCACAAGCACAAGGCACGTAATAACAACATGTATCGGAAGCGCCTCTGGACAGTATTGAACAGTTTTTAGACACTCTAAAGCTGCTGCACAAGGTTAAGAGAAAAAGAAAAGGCCAGAGTAAAGAAATGACATTAATTTTCAGATTAAGTTACTGACATACATACTGGCTTTGAGAACAAGATCAGTGGCCTGCTGCTGTAAGCGCTCTCTAGCAGCTGCCAACTCGCTTTCCACTTCCTTGTGTTTGCTTAACAGTGACATCTCCTCCTCCTTCACATCATCTAGCTGTTTTTGAAGAACCTAAAAGAAGAACAGTATAATAATTGTTATCATTATATACAATCAAGCTTAAATTTAGATGAGCTTTAGGTTAAAATGTACAGAAAAGGCCCTTCAGTAAACACAGTTTATTCATAGAAAAGCAGAAATCTTGTAATAGGATAAAATTAATATGATGATAATACTTATTTTTCAAAAAATTTGAGAAACCTGGTTTCTGGTATCAGAGTTCTCTACATGGAAGAATACATTCTATGTTCACAGTAGTTTACTGCATCCTTCCTTGCAACTCTGAATGTTCAGCACTGACACAAATCAAGCTGCACATGGATATAGTTAAATCAAACTTTTAGTATGTTTTAAGTCTGATTTGCTGATTCACAACAGCATATCTTGATAATGTGTAAATGTCTTCTCAGCCACACAGAAAGGGAAAGGAAATCTTGCTCTGTTTTAAAAGGAAAGTTGAATTTCTCATCATTCAAGAGCCCACAATAGTAAATGTCATTTCAGAAACTAAAGTAGGAAATAGAATTGGGGGAAACACTGGGCATGACACATGAAACATGGACACCAGAAGTAGTGAGATTATGCCTTTGACCACCTTATCCACAATGATGAGAGCAGGACCTGACATTAAAACTCACTACAAAAGCTTTATTAGACTCTTCCTCTTCTTTGGAACCAAGAGAAACCCCTTGATTGCAAGAATAATCAACATACAGTGGGGTTTCCTCTTCACTGCGGCTTGCCAAAAACCCATGTCCTTGATGCAGTTGATTGGAAGACAAAAAATCTGCTTTGTTAATTCAACAAAGTTAGAAATAAACTTCTGGAAGACCCCTTGGAAATCTGGAAAATCGTATTATGAATTCAACATTTGATACAGGTGGCAGTTTTGTTTCACTAAACCCTGTAGCCTTTACACAAGAAGGAAGAATAGTACAAAATATGTGCTAGAAGTAGTCTGTAACTGGAAAAAGCTCAAGGCCCATCTCAACTCCAAAATTACTACAAAGATCACATTTAAGGTACTTCTGAATTTGAAACTTGAGAGTAACTGCAAATGCGAAAGACAAGCTTACCCACAGAAATTACTGTTCTTCAGGCCTCAGCATAGCTACTAAAAGACAGGCAGAATTTCACAGTACCTTTTCCTTCAAGTCCAGCATATCCAATTTTTTGGTGACCAAAAACCCCCAAAACAGTCTTGGTATTTCTGGGGTTTCTTGTGCTTCTTTAAGGACAAGAAACGTAAGTATCTAAATAACACTGTGTCGTGGTTTAACCTGGTAAGCAGCTCAGCCCCACACACCCACTTGCTTGCTTCTCCCCAGCAGTACAGAGGAGAGAATCTGAAGAGTTGTCCTGGTTTGAGCCAGGATGAAGCCAATTTTTCTTTTTACTGATTTTTTTTTTCCTTCAGTAAGCTTTCTTTTAACTAGCAACAGTGTGTTCTGCTAGGCTGATAAGACAGTGGAATGTTTTTCTAACTACTGAGGCTTCAAGGTCGCACCTGCACTCTGCCGGCTCAGACACTATGGGGAGATCCGTGACCCCCCCCCGTAGGAGGCTGAGTTAGACAGACAGCAAAATTGGCCAAAGATATTCCGTTCCATATATCTACGTAAGCTCAGAGGAAGGTCAGAGATCACAGAAGACAACTTCCTTCCTTCTTCTCTTCCCTTCTCTTCCGTCCATGGCCGGCGTCCGGGGAGGACTCTGTTCATCCATCACCGTCGACCCTTAGGCTTGAGATCTCCTGACCCCCATAACTCTGCTCTTTTCCAGCAGCAGCTCTGGGATTCCTCGGGACTCTTCCCAGTTCAGGGAAGTGCTGTGGGAGTTGCTGGGGTGGGGGGAGGCGAGAGGCTTTTGCCCATACCTGAATGTATATCTGTATATAATTGTATATATTTTCTTGTATCATTCATTAGTGTTTTAACTAAAGCTGTGTAGTCTAGTTTTCAATCCAGCCAGGTCTCTCTCTTTTTCTCTCTCTCCTTCCCTACGTGGGTGGGAGGGGGAGGGGATCGAGAGCATTGTTGTCGGACCTGAGTCAAACTGTGACAAGAGTAAAAGTGAGAAAATCTGTGGGTTGAGTTAGAGGCAGCTTAACAGGTAAAGCAAAACAAGGAATTCATTTGCTGTTCCATTGGCACATGTTCAGTCATCTCCAGGCCTAACAGTTATTTGGGAAGGCAAATGCCTTAACTCCAAAAGTTTTCCCCTAGCTCTCTATATGCTGAGTATGACATGATATGGTGTGGAATATCCCTTTGGTCAGTTAGGGTCAGCTGTCCTGACCAAGCTCCCTCCCAGCTCCTTGTGCACTCCCAGCCTGCTCACTAGTGTGGAAGTGTGAGAAGCAGCATAGGCCTTGGCTCTGTGTGAGAATTGCTCAGCAATAGCTAAAACATCCTTGTGTTATCAGCGCTGCTCTCATCACAAACCCAAAACACAACACCCTCTGAAGAAATGTAACCCTATCCCAGCCAAATCCAGTACATACCTGCATGTGGTATTTCAATTACTGCTTTGTAAAAACATCATTGAAGTTGTTGTTTTTTTTTAAATAAAAAGTAAAACATTGAGAAAGTTGTCTTTTTTTCTTATCTCCCACAAATCAACTTTTTGTAACACCCAACATATTTTGGCATGGTAGTCACTAACGACCTCTACAAGCAAGACTGCACTGAATACAGAATAGTCATTGTATTTACAGTGTCAGTTGTATGAAATTCCTGTCAAATGTATTTCTGCAAGAAACTGTACAGTTTGGGTAAGTGGTTTCTTGACTTTTCTAGAAAATATTTCAGTTTGTCACCTATGGAGAATGGCCAGTCTTCTCCCTCCAAATAAGACTAAATAAAATGCCTTTTAAGCCAGCAGAGGCCTTTTGCTGATTATACCCAGCAAATGGACCAAAACAAGCCTGCCTATACAAGGACAAAAAAAGCAAAACAAAGGTTGTTAATACCAGGCAGGAAAAATGGACAACAAGTTATGGACTGCCCCTAATAGCTACTGCCCTGACTTTGGACCCATGAATGCTAATTGGCTCTGTGCCTTATTAACATGTTCATAAGGAGAACGCAGTAACCACTCGACTTCCTCCCTTTTTACTCCTTTGATCCTTGCACCCCTCCCTCAGAGTGTACATTTAATAAGGGCATAGTAGTTTTGAATTCTTTTCCGACATATCCCTTAGCCTACCTCTCCTGAACCTTGTCCTTTAGTATATCCTGAATAAACCAGTAAATTAGTAAACTAAATATTGCTACTGCTTTTTCCTTTTTTTCTTTTTTTGGGGAGGGCGGTGAGGAGGGTGGAGGGATTAATTTATATGGAGACCTGATGCAAAGATACTGCTTAGCTTGTTTTTTTTCTTTTTCCTGTCTTTGGGGTTAGGGGAACAGGGTTTGATTTGGGGTTAGTCTGTTCTTTAAGTGGTAACAGTTTTGAGGATTCTATTGAGTATATATACCTTGAGTAGTTTGACTAGAAGAATCAAGTTCTGCTCATTAACAACTGAAAGGAAGGAGACCAAAAATCTCCCCCTGGGTAGGGGCTTCTAGATTCTACTGGAATACAAAGTAGCATTCATTCAGTCCGGGAAAATTAAACACATACAACAAAAACAGAAGTAGATGACAATCTGCTGTCAATGAGTGACAGAAAATATATTTACATGTTCCAATCTCCTCAGCCTACCAGCCTCACAGAAAGACAGCATAAATAGGAAAAGAAAATTCCCAGCCTTAGGAACAACATAGCACTGGTCTTACCTGAACATTGTTTTCTGCTGTACCAAGAGCCACCTGAAGTTTTTGACATTTTTCCCGTAGACTGGCAGCTTCATCCTGGACCATCTGCAATTCAGTTTTAAGCTTTCCCAGGTTCTTCCGTAATATACTTTCCTGGGTTTGAAATTCTTTTCTTAGCTCAGCTTCTTTTTCTTTGCAAGCATGTAGACTCTCTGCTGTAAAAAGCTGAGATCTTTTCAAAGAATCAAGTTCATGTTCATAGAAGGACTGTGCTTTGCTGAGTTTGCCTTCATAGTCCTCAATGAGTTTTTTTCTTTCCAGCCTTAACTCTTCAACTTTACTGTTCAAGTCTTCCAACTCCAGTCTATGCAATTCCTCTAGTTTTTCTTGTCCCTTACTTAAAGTAGCATTCTGACTCTGTTGAGTCTTCAGAAGCTCTTGAATCTCAAGTCTATGGGCAGCTCTCAAGTCTTCCAGAGCTGTACGCTTGTCCTTCTCATACTGCACTTGTAACTGTATGAAGCTTCGCAGCCTTTCCTCAAATTTCTTTCTGATCTCTTCTACTTCTCTTGACATGGTCACTACACGTTGAACATGCTGAGCTTCTGCACAAAGCTGCATATCTTCAACTCTACCCTTATAGGCTTCAAATTCTGTCAAGGCCTGATGTTTCATCTTTTTATGATCTTCCAGTGACTCTTCTAAAACCTGGATCTTTCTCTTGAGATCCATTTCTTCTGCAACTTTACTTTTGTACTGTAAGATCTTATCTCTGGTCTCTGCAAGAATTTGTTGAATTTCTTCTTCATGAGCATCCTTAAGGGCTTGGATAGCAGCTTCATGTTCATCATTTTTAGTGTTCAAAGCATATATTACCTACAAACATGAAATAACATTATATTAGACAAAAGGCATTCTGATTATCTGTTCAATCATAAGAAAAAACACATAGGTACTCTGAAAAGTTACTCTGACAATTGGGCACATCTTCATGATCCAAATAAAGATACCAAACATGTGACTGCATAGTCTGCATGTGACATTCATTGTGAATGGGACTGTATTAGTCATAACAATCTTGTACCTCTTGTAGAATGTTTTTTCTATACTTTCTAACCTATAATTTTCCTGATAAAAGTTTTACCTTTATATGCATGTGGTTGCTATAAATAGCACTGGAAAAAAGCACATACAACACATTTGAAAAAAGCAAACTGTACTTAAAAGAGCTAAAAGCATAGTCTAAAAAGAAATTTGAACAGAGATTGAACAGAGTAATACAGAGTATGCATTACAACATGAAATTAGATTGGAACAAAAAATCCAAATCTCAAACTCCTTCTTTTCAAACACTAAGTATTCTTAAATATTTAATTTTAGAAACACCTAAAATGCTGACATTGCCCAGATACAATTTCTGCTTTGACAGCTTATCTAGTAGGCATATTTTGTATGTAGATCTCCTAAGGTCTGAAGTCCCTCACTACATAAGCTCATCAGCTTTCCAGCTAAGTCAGCTGAACAGAAAGGTAGCTGGCAGGGCAGCCAGCTGTGTGGAGAGCCCAAGGAGCCAAGCAGCTCAAGATGGCTGTGAAACCAGCAAAGCTGCCTAATATTCAGTCAAAGTTTTAAAATAACCAGATATGTCCTATGGGATGTTTCAATTGCACCACAACATGGTAGTCTGTCTTTCTGTTTTTTAACTAGGAAGTGCTCTCACCAATACAGACATGAGTAATTATCTGTGTATGGACGTGTATATGGATGAATCTGTGAATAAACTATTAATGCAATAAGGTTTTAATACAATACTTTGTGCTCCAAGAACTCCAGAGAATTCCTACACTTCCCAGATATGTTACAGGCAGCAGAACCATAAAACATAACACAAAAAAACTAAAGTATTCCAATTAGTGTATTTTTTTATAACTAAAAAATAACAAGAAGCAACAAAAATGGAAACCACAGAAGAAGCAGAGAACCTACAAAAAAGCTGCCCCTTGCATTTTGGGTTGGCTTTTTGTTTGGTTGGTTGGTTTTGGTGTTTTGTTGTTTTTTTTTGTGAGGACAGAACCTGGACCAGTCCTCTGTTAGCATTAAAACAGGCAACAGAGGAAGATGACACTGACTTGCCCTCAGGGCCAGGAGATATGAAGGTGGCCCAGAATTGCTCTCCTGGCACCAAGCACAGTGTGTCTCTGTGTTCTGAAACTGAGAAAGGGTCTACAATCAAGTGACAAAGCTCAAAAGAGTTCTCAGATTTGAAAAAGCAGATTCAATATTTTGGCACGTAATGTAACAAGCTCTGTTTTCTGGGGCTTTTTGTTCTTTAACGCTTGTGCCAAAAAATCCAAAAGAGTAGGCTTAGCTTCCATTATTCTAATTAAATTTTCACATTATTTAATGAAAGATGGAAAATGAAAAATAGCTCTTCCATGGTTTTGGAAACTGTTCTTTATGCTGCTAATATTTCTGCAGGCAGCAGGTAGATTCTGGCTTTCTTCCTCCCTAGAAAAGCATTGTTTTTCCTACTGCAAAACAGCATCATGGTTCAGAGACTCAACAAACCTCTTCCAATACATTGCAAAAAAATTACAACAAAACCACATGCAATCCCATAAGCAGAATTACAACCATCACTACAATGCTCTTCGCCCAAGGTTTCCATCTTTTATATTTTCATTCTATTTGGTGATGCCAATAGTAGCATCTAACCAAAGCTTTCATCTCTCTTCTCTCACCAACATACAGTCTCAGCTATTGTATCCCAAAGGTTTAGTTATTGTGTCATTTAAACGGCATCCAGTGCTCAACACCTTTGTTCATATCAGAAACATTTTGAAAACTATGGGATTTGTTTTATTTATTTATTTATTTATTTATTTTTAAAGTACGTGCTATATTTTGCATTAAGAGGCCTTGGTTTTGGTTAAGAGAAACTGAAAAATGTAGGAAAAAATGTATTATAAATATTTTTCACACATTATTAGATTGTTATAATAAGTATCTGCAGAACACTAGGTCAGTTGCCATGCTGTAACCAGCCCTTGACTCTAGTCTTTGTGCAGAGAAGTGCCATAATGCTCTTTCTTGCTTCAAGCAGTGTTCCCATCCCAGGTCATGCAGCACTTTAATCTGCAGAAAGTATAAATCACATAATATTTTCAAGGGTGTTATGATTTGGCAATGGGATCTTCGCTGAGATGTCTGAGTGAAAAATAAGCTTAATGCAATGCCAGATTCAGAAGGTACTTTTTAAATTCTCATCATCCACTTACTCAATAGACAAAACACTGAACACCTAAAATTCAGTAAGCATCACTCATTCTCTAACTGAAGGTCATGGGTGTCTTACAGAAAAACATTTAAATCAAATAAAATGCATGCAACTGAATGTTGTACCATAACATATTTTCTTCAGAAACCTGAATTTCAGCTCTATCAGATTACTCTATCACAAACTGCAGAATTTTTAAAGTAATGTAACAGCTACATCAGATTTTATCTTTGAGAATTTGACAGACTGTATTAGAGTAGGAACATAGGAAAAAAAAAAATTGTACTAACTGAAGAAAAAGCAACCTAAAAGCATTTCAATGAAGTGAAAATAGAAATTGAAATACATGGGAAAAAATTATTACATTTAAAATTCTAGCTAAAATAAATAGTTCTTGCTCAAGTAAGTTTCTTGCAACTGAAATGCAATGAAGTTGCAAAAGCTGGGCGTGGGCAGATAAAACAAATTTTGCACTCATATTGTTAAATCAGGGGATGAGCCACTTCTTATTCAAGCTTGTAAATGCTTTAAAAAGTACTAGTAGATTTTTCAGTACAACTGCATATTATCAAGAAGCATAAACTGGTCATTTTTTCCACCTCCGCTTTAAATGCATCATACACATTGCAGTTCTCACCAATGACAGAAAAGAAAATTAAATTGTACTTCACTGTATTTTCAGTTAGTATTTCCTTCCAGAGGTACAGACAGAACGATCCTCTCTCCAAGAATAGAGATTGCCAGCTAATGGCCTTAATACTTTGTATACAAAACAGTAACATAATTAATTATTAATAGGAATCTACTGCAATACTATGTGCTTTGGTACAAAGAACAACATCAGAGTAAGCTAGTAACAGTAATAACTTATTTTAATGCCAATAATTGAATACTGTAGTGTTTAGCTATATACTATGGGTTAAGGTTAAGCAAGTCTGCTGCTGCAATTGCATCCGTGTCTTGAACTACCCAGAATACAACCAACCACCAGTGTTCAATGCTGTTTCTGGCAGAAATACCAAAGTTTTACTATTTAGCTGAGACATTTTTTTAAATCTAAAGCAAATGCTCTGTCTTGGAGAGCTGACCAACTCTTGCATGGTAAGCTGCACTTGGTCATCAGCTCCTTCCAGCAATTCAATCATGATTAAACACTTCTCTAATTAAAAATGTGTAATTCACCTTAATACCAGTATTAAGTGCCAAACACCTTGCAGCACAGAAAATATCTCAAAAAAAACGTGTGTGATTCATTCTCTCTAATTTTACATGGAAACAGGAATTGATACCTATGAGGAAAAAAACTGTCACTAAGCATCTTGCACAAACATCAACCTTGTGTCTCTGGTAAACTTTGATTTCAGACTCGACACGTGGGTCCCTAGTTTAGCTGAAGTATCTTGTTCTTAGTGCTGCTGGGGTGTTGCTGCCTGGGAGCACTGGTGCTGGCTATACCTGCTAGTTCAAACCACCAGAGCCTCCAGAGACACCCCAAGACTTCATCAGTGCTGCTCATCTATTTAATGAACTACAGGACAACAGCATCAACAGGAAGAAAAACAAAGACCAATGAGCCTGACATACCCTGGCTGTCTATAGGTAGAGAAGAGCTGCTAGATGCAGGAATAAGTAAGATTTACTGGGAAAGGGTAACAAGGATTTTCTAGAGACAAGTCACACTGCCCAGGAACAGTGTGGTGCAAACAGAAAGATTTAGCCTACAACACTGAGAAGAAGCATAAAAAAACCCCTTCCAGGCATTACTATAAATTAATGGTATACAGAAATGTACCCTTTACTATAGTCCAGAATGATAATACATTTTGTTACAATGCGTATTGCATTAATTTTCTCCCTTTTCTTCCTGTTGACCAAATAATGACAAATACTAAGTACGCTATATTTAAGCATTTAATATGTATGTATAAGCTACAGAAGGTCAATTTAAGACAAAAAAAGAATAACCAGTTTTAAACCCAGAAAATGTCTGGGTTTACTGGACAAATTTCTGCTCCCTAGTACATTATAAAAATAGAGTAAAACAGGAAAATATTTCAAAGTTGTTGTTTTTTAAATAGAGCAGGGAAGAGTGAAATATGTAACTGTAAAAGTAGTGTCCACCACCAATACCAGCATCTCCCCAGAAACGCTGGTCTTCCTTCGAAATTTTTTTCCCACAAAAACATTCTTCCACGAGAATTTACTATGAAAATATCCTTTAGATGTTCAACAGTCTTAATGCATTAGTTCAGTTTATGCCTGAGTAAAATATAGTATTTCATCCTATTTAAAACTCTGAAAACAAATACTGAATTATTTTATGACAGCAACAAGCTTTGAAAACTAACCTCTAATGTCTTCTGTTTTCAACTTATTATTTAGACAATGATGCCAGGAAGTTCAGCATGAGAATTTATTTGCATGAATCAAACAAAGAGCTTTCCACTTCTACCTAACATTCAATTTTTGAACTAAAACAAACAACAACCATTTTTCACTTTCACACTTGTTGCTAAACACTTACGCTTAATTTTCTTTAAAAGAGAAGTCTCTGTAAGTCAGAGCACATGCACTGCTCACTATCATCTAAACT